CCTGGAGTCCAAACCTCTATTGAAGCATACATAGGGGGACTTCCTTCCCAGTATCCTGTCACAGGGTCGTGGTGATTGGTCACACGGGCCAGCACTGCAAAATGGGGCGTCACGTGGGCCCCTATTCCTGGAAGTACCGGGTTTTTCCCCCATGGCTCATCAACAGGGTGGGGATGTTTGGGAGTTAGACTTTAAATTGGATTTGGGTAATGTACCCATTTTGGAAAATGAAGCCCATTTATCTTTTTCAAAGCAAGGACAATGTAAAAACACTTAGAGACCATTATCCCGTTTCGCACAAGTAGTAGGTTTGCCCTCATTTAATAATTTACCAATGCTGACAGCAGGGAATGCAAGTGGCCTTGTCTGCACAACATTCAAGCGTTTCTTTTTTATAGAAACATTCTTAACGTGTCCTGGAAAGGCATCAAAACCTGATGATCAGAGAATATTTATCATTTATTTAAATTTAAACCCAAGAACGGACATTAAATATATTGCAGCTTACCAGGTCTTGGATGTGGTCGTGCCATTCGTTTTTTTTTTTACTCCCATCAATAACACTTCCTGTCCTAGGGTGACAACACTTTCGTACTGTATCTACGGAGGAGCCGCAATGTCATCCTACGACAGGCAGTGCTTAGGTCTACAGAACACATTCCCTCCTTATCTCTATAACATAGTAGGAGGTGTTTGAGTTTTGTTCATTAAAAAAAAAAAAAAACAACCTTTCAATGGTATAGATCACAAGGGAGAAAATTAGCTAATTTCACACACTTTAACACCTTATTGCCGGCCCTATACATATGTGGCAGCATGGAGGCAGGCTTTAATGCCAAGCTGCCACATACAAGTGTACAGCCGGCATCCCTTGTTTGTGCTGGTAGCACGCTCACTCAGTACCCCCAGCAGAGTCACTGCACTGTCACAGACATGTCCTGATCACGTAATCAGTGATAGATATTCACAGTGATCACATGACCAGGATGGCCATGTTATGAATTTTTAAAGGGCCAGTTCTCAGCTGGCTGGAAAGGTATTAAGCAATGTTTGTTAAAAAGGTTAAAGTGACATTAAAGTAAAAAATATTTTCCCCTCCCCCCAATGTTAATGAAAACACTTACCTTAAATTACATTTCTTAAGCCGATCTTTTCTGCCCTTTTCATCTGTCCCTCCAGCGCTACGGCGGGTCTCCGATCCAGCACAGACTTACCTTGTGACTCTCCTAGTCTCCCGGCCCAAAATCCGAACTGCGCCCGTCCCAAGATGCTTTGCGGCCGCCCGAGAATTTTCACATTTCGGACCGGAGCGTGCGGAGAAGACACAGGTAAGTATTAACTAGGGATGCACAGATACTTTTGAGTACCAGTGCTGATACTTTTTCACGAGAACTACCAGGGTTGCAGCTGGAACCGGGCTCTGGCGCTCCACTACTGTCCTGAAATCATTAGTCTGTATTGTTTTAGAAAAACTGTCACATGACAACAAAAATGTATCAGGACTTGTAAGTACTCGGCAAGTACCAGTACTCGCAAAACTGGTATCTGTGCATCCCTTTATTTATATTTATAAAAACAAATTTGTACATTAAAACAGAGATGTACAAATCCCAGGAGCTCCGTGTGCTCCTTACAAATGACAGCTGCCTCCTAATTTTTCTCTAGTGTAGTCTTGAAGCTCAAAAGTATCTGTACTTGTACCGAGTACTGTACTTGGTATCTGTGCAACCCTAGTATTAACCCTTTTCAAAGCGGGTTTTTGTTTTACACTTTTGCATATGTCTACTGCTTGCTAGCAGTAGATATAGGCAAACACACCGGAGGGTTTAATAACCCTGTAAGTTACATGATAGCCGTTCTCACAGCCCAGATACCAAGACACAAAACTAATACAGCAGAAGACCTATTAGGAAAGCCAATAGGGAGAAGCTGGCTGCACCGAGATCAGACTTCCATCAATAAGCAGCTGAAAATCTCAGTATGAGAAACACCAACAATAACACAAGTCGCACTCAATAAAAGACATTACAATCTTCCATTATATATATTTTTTTTATTATTTTGATCTGCATAGTGATTTTCTTAATATAATCGGCACAGAATGCCCGTTAAGCTCTGTTAAATAGGTTACAAAAACAAATATTTAAAAAAATTAAATGTTTTTAAACCTTTTTTTTTTAGGATAATTTTCATTTATCTAGAAAAGAAAAAAACAAACAAACATTCGGGCACTTGTTTCCCCCCGTGGCAGGGGGGGTTTGGGGAAGGAGGGTCATGCATTGTTTTGATGAATGGCCTTCTATCCAGTGTTTTGAGGTAAATTCATTTGGTTAAACAATTTCTAATTGATCAGAGGCCCGGGGTTGGCGTTGCGTTACCTCCGTTGATTCTTCTGCGCCTCTCTTAATAACGTATCGAAATCTACAGCTTCGAATTTACTTCTAACAGGTGCCGGGTCAAAATCATCACGATTTGAATCTGAGGGAGAAACGCATGTAAAACACATTTACAGAACTCTGTACTGACCTCGCCCTACCCAATGTAGAAAGTAAAACTCTCGGCAGTACAGGCATCTGAGACAACCGCAAACCTCTAAATCTGTCCTGAAACAGGAACGGATTGGAAAACCAAATGTTACAATGGTCACCAGAAGATTTGAGGGGAAACCTTCCAATGGGGACAACCGCCCCAGTGACAACTAGAAGATTAAGTCCCCTCTTTATACAGATTTCCAGTCATTTCCGAGACCGGAGACTAAGGGAAATCTCTAAAATGGGACACAGGCAGCGAAAAATAAAATTACAGATTATTTTCCCTACTCCTAAAACCAAAAAAAAAAAAAGTATTGAACAGTGTCATTAATTTGTCCACCCGTCTTACATATGCCCGGGTTTGAGACCAGTTTAGTTTAAGGGAGAACTATGAGGTGAGTGAAAATCACTCATGCTCCTAGTCGGAGCAGACATGTGACAATGAAACTGTCACACAATGGCTCAATAGATCGGGAAGTGAGCGCACACATACCGCCGCTCACTCACTTCTCGATCTCCCTGCAGAGTGGTGACTGTCAGTCACGGCTCCCTGCAGGGATTCCCCCTCCCCTCTTTAATCCTCCAGCACTGAGGGGAAGAAAGGAGGTGGGAGGTGGCAGGTACAGCTGGCTCTGCCTCTAGATAGGCAGAACCTGCTGTCAATCACGCAGCTGGGTGGATCTCGATAGTAATGTCGGGATCGGTCCTGGCTGTGGCAGTCTCAGTATACCGCGAGCTGTAGCTCATGATATACTGAGCTTTGGATCATTGAAGGACTCTAGTTTATGTCCCCCCGTGACCCTTAAGAGAACTATGGGGAAAAACACGTGTCTCAGGAGAATTTAAAAACAAAGAATTTTGTTCTCAAACTCCTACGGCCCTCTATAAATGCAATTATTTAGATATACACACATACTGACTTTGTTATTGCAATTATATCCCAATTATATATGTAAAACTATACTCTGAAGGTGCAATGAACAATTCTATAAATGCCATAAGCTATAAAATCATAGTTCAGCACCATGTGCTGAATGAGAAAAATCACTCGATTCCCCCCCCCCACATTAGGCCCGCAATTTCCCCGACAGTTGCTTTCATAAAAATGCATTGAAAAATCAACTTGCCAGGTCGGGTGGGGCCATCCCCGGATCATGGTTTGGCCAATTCAGCATGAAATGGACAAAAATTTGATGTATGGCCAGCTTAACTTTTTTTTAGGAAAACCTCTCGAGTGACAGCACAATGATCTCTTCCCTCAGATATCTGTGAGCCAATAAGACTGCTTCTCTGTGTGAGCTGTCCTCGACCCCCACCCCATCAGCCACATTGACCCAGAAAAAGCCTCCTCACATAAAGCTTTGCAGTCTATGTCTCTCTGGGGTTGGTAGCTCACGAAATCCAAGACATTGCTATACCATGACGATCATTTGATTCAACTAACTAGGTACATAAATGTATTGTAGTTTTGGCCAATAGAAGGAAGTTCTCCCATGATACAAAGCCTGAGCAGAGGCAATAGACACGAGTACAGTACCCCTACTCTTGGAGAAATGTTTCTTCAAACTATATACGGTACTTATAACCTCAGAATGGAAAACTGAACTTACCAAGATCAGCATAGTTACTTTTGCAGAACTGTCTACGGCCACCAAAGCAGAGGTCAAAGGGCAGCTCGTCTGGAAGGCGCAACTTGTGCCCGTTTTCTATGGCAGCAAAGGCCTCCCCGGTATAGCGATAAGTCACAAAGCCGTAATTGTCACTGCAAGGAGAAAGCAGACACTATTAACCCATCTATACAGCCAACACCAAACCGCCTGGTCCCTGCCACAATTCACAACACATATGGCCTCCACTGGTCACCATTTAGACATATTTGCCAAATCTGGCCTTTATAATTATAACTATCTCTGTAGAAATATGGCAAAGTGACTGGTAAAACCACCATTATAAGCAGGCTGAATATTTGGAATCAATACTTCAGACAAATGCAAAACGGCATTTCTGATATTTTAAAATAAAGGTCAATAAGCCAAAGAGACCTCAACGTACAGCTTTCCCTCGGCCTAATAGATTTGGCGGCAGTATCAGACAAAGTCTTTCCAGCCCGTCTACGATGCTGTGTTCTCGTGTTTAAGAAGCGTTACTCTTCAGTTCCTGTAACTTCAACACATTTGGCTGCTTTTTAAATCTCTCAGGAAAAACCAGTTTAGCAGCATAAATTCTATACCGGGCTGACAGGCCAATCAGAACAAGCACACGTAACCAAATCTGTTATGGACTGTTTGCTGTGCTAACCTGCTGGTTGCTAATGTTGTGGACAAAAGTTCAAAGCCAAATATTTGTATGTATTGGGCTTCAAGGAAACGTCAGACATGGAAAATATATGAAAAAAAAAAAAACCCCCATCCAGCTATGAAAAAAAAAATATTGTTATAACATGTTTTAATCCTATCCACTGCACTGCGAGACAATCATGCATATTGCAGGCACTGGGAGCCTATTTTAGAAGTGTGCACAATATGTGCTGTGATGGGTTATATTAAACTCTGATTAAAGTGAACTTTTGAACTACATTCTAGTAGTGATGTTTCTTGAGAAATAGAATCAGCTCACCAACTTAGCTTGTTACCTCCAGATAAGCAACCCTCTGCATCAAATCATCCACTAACAAAACAATGCCTTTTTTGGGGCTGTGCCAACTTTAAGACCTAGTGCAGCCATTTTCACACAGAGTTCTGTGGAACCCTAGGGCCAGCTGCATGACACCAATTAACTTTCTAGCAGTCTCTAGCATTCTGGTCACCAGCGCAAGGGGCCTGCCCCCCTCTGGCGCGAGGAGAGCGACGCCCCCACTCCCCGGCCGCCAGCGCAGGGAGGGTGCTCCCAAAGACCCACCTCCCCGGCGCAAGGAGCATGCCTCCCCCACTAGCGCAGGGAGGGTGCTCCCAAAGGCCCTACCCACCCCCAGTGCAAGGAGCGTGGCCCTGGCCGCCAGTGCAAGGAGTGTGGCCCCGGCCGCCAGTGCAAGGAGCGTGCCTCCCTGACCTAGAGCAACCACCTCTAATACATGGTCCTTAAATCAGCCTTGTACAGAGGGCATTCTAATAGTAGCAATACAAATGATCCTCACCCCTCCTCTCTGAAGTGAATGGTGCATTCCTCGATATCTCCAAATATAGAAAATCGTCTACTGAGCTCCGACCTGGTCATGCGACTGTTGATCTTACCGACATACACAACCCTTCTCTCCTCCTGAAAAACCAAACACATTTGTCAGAAGTTAAATCTAAGTGCAGGTTAATGATTGTCAGGGAAAACACACTATACAACCCGAGGCTTTATAATTAGAGAAAATGTAATGTGTGCAAAAAAAAAAAAAGATCTGCCTTTCATTTATTTGGGTAAAGCAGGAAGAATTGGGACCTGTAAAACTTACTGCTGTTGGGTGTCACTATGGGGACAAGCTAGCAATCCAATCACCATGGAATGTGTAGATACTGATTGTCCAAGAAGAGGATAGGAGGGCTGGAAGTTGTGGGAGCCGGCACCTTAGGAGATTAACCCCGGAGGCCAGTAAGCAGGCAGGCTCCCGATCTTGTGATCGGCTGTCACAGTGGTGATGTGATCAGGAAAAACATTCCATCAGTTCCCAATTGTAAAACGGTAACTGGGAGCTGTCAATGACAGCTCAGTGACAGTGCTGGGAGTGCCCAGTGAGCATGCTCAAGACAGAACTACACGCTGTCTGGTATGAGCATACAACCAGCAGGAAGGGGTTAATAAGGGCTGATTGAGGAACACACTTCAACCTGACTAAAGGTCTTTCAATGCTCCGTTTCTAAAATGGTTGCCAATAGAGCTACATACCATTGATTTTCTTTTATAACTATACTAATGAACAAGCCTTTAATCGATCTTTTATAGCAATGTACACATTACGCAACACACAGGAGGGTAAATTACCTAATCTATAGCGCATGTCGTTCTTGCAAATTACAATAGTCATAGCTTAGTGAATAAAGTCTAAGGCTCCCTATATAGAGAAGGGCAGTTGTGATGGATACTCTACAGGTACATGCAGCCACCAAGGTCCTTGATAAAGAACATTGTGAACACTTACTATAGCTCGCTCTTTATGATGTATCTTCTCCCTGTAGTAGTTGTCCTGAGACTCACACCTGTAAAGATCAGAGGGATTCCAGCTTATAACCGGTTAAGCAATGCAAATGTGCCAAAAAATACAATATGCCATTCTGTTGGGGTTCACGTCTACTTTAATCAATGTTTTATATATATTGAGTTTAGATGAAAGCAAATATATCTTTAAATTATAAAACACATTTTTAAATTACATCCTGATTGTTATGCACAAATCAGCCGGGAACAAAATATATTAAAATTTAATGTATTGCCATTTGTGTCCAGCAGATGGCGAGCGCCTAGCAACAGGCGCAAGCTGACGATATCAGAATTGATGCTGAAATCTAATTACATCAGCTCTTCTGCTAAAATGTTTTCCCAGCAGACAAAGGTTAGAACATCTGCAAAGTTATTAATGTTGCCTGCTAGAGATATTCGCTAACATTAGGTGCCACCGACCATGGTCACCAGGACAGGAAGGGAGAGGAAAGCTAAAATTTTAGAGTGTTTACCAGAATTGGAAGAGAAAATAAATCTCCCAATGGGGACACCTGTCGTGGTGACAACTGGGTTTGAGAAGATTTCCTGTTGTGTCTCAGATAGTGAAGAGCAATATCTCCCAGAGGGACAGCAATCAAATCTGAGAGGTTCTGAATATCTCCCACTCTGTCTTGGATCAGAACAAAGATTGTCTGAGGTTCCACCATAAAACAATTGCAATGAACGAATAGTTTACCTCCTACTTCTGCTCCTGTATCTTCTCCTGTAAGGAGACCTGGACCGAGATCTCGATCTGCTAGATGATGGAGAACATGAACGGGATGAACTAGAGGAGGATCTAGAGGAGCTTCGTGAACCATAACTAGACCCGGAGGATGACCGCGATCTGTGATGACTTCTAGATCTGTACCTGGAAAGTAGATGCCGAGGATCAACGCAAGTCACACACTGTACTACAAGTAGTTCCTATGGCATAATATCTGTTCACGTTTAGATTTATCATCCTCCTATTTATCTTACCTGTGTGTTATACTGACATTCAATTTTGGTAACAAAAGTACAACAAGGTCCCAGGCAAATCCAATTTTTGGCTAAATGATATACACCAATACACCAGGCACCGACTTTGTCAATGTGTAGGGAAATACCAGGAAAGTATCTACCAAATTATCTAACGTTTGAAAGCTTTAATATACAAATTGCTGAAATGAGTAACAATGGAGCCGAGGTACTAATATGTCCTAGGGTAAAATGGTACTCCTGGCTGCCTTCATATCTGGTCACATTTCATAAAGTCACACAATTAAAGTAGATCAAGTTTTCCCTTTAACCTCTTGCCGTCCGCCCGTAGTAGAAAAACGGACGGACGGCACTGCTGCATCTGCGGGTTGCCGTCTCCAGACGGCAATTTTTTTCTGCTCGCGCGCGCCCCCTAGCGGGCACGCACGGGCAGAAAAGACCCGATCAGTGCACACACCCGTTACCGGGTGTTACACATATAGGCGATCAGCGGGTCCATAGCCCAGAGATGATATTTACCTGTCCTGCTGCCCGCACCAATTATCACTCTTCAAATCAAGAGAATCCTTGGAGAATTCCCTTAATCTGCCACACCTCCAAGAGCGTTCGTCTCTGAATCCCCCTATGTGGTGGTTCCTTCCGCTGGCCAGTGTTACTACGGTATCCTACAGTGATGAAGGGACCGGCAGAAGGAACCAGAGGTCTCAATGGAGGACCAGCCATGCAACCTACTCCTGGTACCATAGAGTGAAGATCAGTGGTGTGGGCAGCGAGATAGACTGACATCTCTCTCTACAGGGGAATCCATTTTTAAATTTTTAAACATGGCTTTACATTCAAGTCACAGTGACCTCGATTTAAGGAAAATAAGCTGATCATAACCTTCTGAGACGGTTAGCCATTTACACGGGTAGTACTGAAGGGAGCCTGGAGAAGTATTTTTTTTTTTTTACCAGAAAAGGAAAGCTTGGATATTACTTTTTATTCAACCAAGCAGCCCTGACACTGGGAGTACAGGTCCAGTATAATATTTAGTTTCATCCGGCCATGCACACACACACATTGCTTCACAATACAGATAAATTCAGTGCAGTCATCAGTCTAAGCGTGTATGGGGAATGAAAATAACTGCAACAGGACACCAGGATGTGGCAGAGAAGATGGCAGCGGCAGTGAATGAAATTGCGCAGTTACCAGACCTGCATGACAACAAACCGAAAAGGTCAGCCTTTCCTACTCATCAAGCATGCCTGCACATTTGTGAGCAATGGGTTAAATGGTAGGCCTGCAGGAGTGCTTGCCATAATGTGCAGGCATGCATAGCTTGCTTGATTAGGAAAGACTGACCTTTCAGTTTGTCGTCATCCAGGTCTGGTAACTGCGCAATTTCATTCACTGCCGCTCGGTTTCCATGCTGGGCACACGCTATGGAGTGCACTTCAGCACATCGACATGCACACACATATGCAGCCTCACAGAAGTAGGCCTTTATCAGTGGGGCCGCATATATGCATGTTCACATGTATGTGCTGAAGTGCACCCCGTAGCGTGTGCCCAGCACGGAAACCGTGCTGTCACCAACGGCTCTGGGTGCTATACCAATGATCAGCAAGGGGAAGGACCGGCTGCCAATCACATGATCACTGAAATAGCTTGTGATTGGCTATCACAGGGATCATTGGCTGTAGAAGCCCTCCACATCTTTCTCCACTGTGTAATATACATTGCAACTTTTTCTCCTCTCCAGAGCTGCAGAATGTAGACAAAAATACAGGGCAATGCCAGCAACAGGGCAATGCCAGCAACAGGGCAACGCCAACATATTTTAGCTGCAAAAATGGGTTCAGGCATTTAGATTGGTGTCATCTTCCCTCATTAACGGGTTCAGAATACCGCACCCTGTCCAAACAGTTACTAGTAAGCTCAGTAATTCAAGAAAAAGTGGAGTATATGACAATAGTTCACCTCCATGGTTTCACTATACTGACAGCTTTCCTCAACAGCTATTGATTGGGGTAATGGCCGTGTTGTGTGTTAGAAAAGAAAAGCCTGCTAGGAAACTCAGAGTTTGGGAAGTCTGCCAGCACCTCACGCTGAGCAACTTCCTCAGATCCGCTCTTTTGAATTTCTCCAATAAGTCTATAACACTACACGGAACACAAGATCGGCTTCAAGATTACAGACCCAGGACAAAACTTCTGATGGACGGGCCTCCCATAGGGATGAATGGGAAATCTGCACAAGTGTGTACCGGTCGTAACACTTTCTGTGGACAGGCAGTGCAGCAGACTCACGGCAAAGATCTCAGAGGACTGTAAACAGGTAAGGGGAGGGGGGTCTGCATTTTGGGGAACTGTACTAAGAGTACAACAATCCTTTAATGCTGGGCTTAGAATAGAAATTATAGCACTTTTATTATAGCTGAACAGCAGGAACTTACATTGGCCCAGCTTGGTTACATCTAATTTCTTATATCTTACATACAGAGGGCCACTGGGTTGCAGAAATTCACTGTTGTCGCCTGAGCGGATGATGTGACATCTGTCCTTCATCCGCGCCAAGAGTTGAATGGCGGAGGTGCCCAGTAAGTGACTCCCTATAGAGCTGCAACAGTTAATCGATTTAGTCGATTAAAATCGACGATTGAAAACGTTGGCAACGACCTATGTTCAATATACAAACTAACACTGACTATATGTAGCACATAGGAGTCGCTCTATTGTAGGGTTGCAACTAATGATTTTCATAATTGATTAGTTGGCCGATAATTCTTTCGATCAATTGGATAAAAAAAATTAAATGCCGTCCTTTATTTAAAATGAAATACACAGATGCAGTGTTACAAAGTTTACTTCAGAATAAAACTATGTACAATTTTTTGCACTCGCACTGCACTGGAAAGCGTGGCATTGCAGTACCGTGCGGGTGATCACACTGTGGGTGGGAGGTGCGTTTGGTGTGCCATTGAATAGAATGGCAATCCAACGCACCTCATGCAGCAGAATTTGTCAGGCCGAAACCAAAAATTACTTTTTCCCCACCTTTTATGAAAACAAATGTAAGCTGTATTTTAGGCACATGGCGCTTGAATAGCTTCAGCCAGGGAGTGACAGCTGCCAGTGGCAAGACTCCACAGATGGCAGCTGAATGTAAATACAGCAGGTAGTGGGCAGGTGCAATAGACAGCCTGCTATTGGCCTTTTCAAATTGCAATAGCCAATAGCAGGCTGGGTTTTGCAGCCAACCACTGCTTGTTGAGCCCTCCGACCAGTACGGAGGAGAGAGCTAAGGGATCCAACCACCAAGAATAGTTGCAACTATTCTCATCGATTATTAATTGATTAGTTGCAGCCCTACAGTCTTGCTGGTCACCTCCGCCATTCAAATATCTTGTATGTTTGCCACTGAATGCAAAGTGTTCTTTGATTGGGTGAGAGGGGCAGATCACGTCATGTCACACGCACAGGCTACTACAAAGAGTTTGTGCATCCCAGCAGCTCTCCAAAGAATTAGGGGTCAACGAAACACGTTTGCCGTACTAGAGTGAGAACGCTCACTCATCATACTGTATGTATAGAGGACAGGCGTTGTCACTCTAGGACAGGAGGTGTTTGTACTACAGAACACCTTCCCCTGTCTTCTGTGTAACAGGATAAGAGTGTGTTATGGAGTCCTAACACTTCCTGATAACATTAAGACTGCAGAGCACACAGGACAGCACAGGATTTCTGGCAGGATCAACGAGTATATTTTGCACTTATCAAATCCAAAACTATTTCAGTTGTATATTTAAGGGAGCAAAATAAAAGTTCACTGTTAGAGGATCACATATAGGGCTGCAACAACTAAATGGATTATAAATCGATAATGAGAATTGTTAGCAATAATTCTCATCAATTAGTTGCAGGCTGCAGCGGTCTGTGTCCCTTTCAATCCCCGCCTGCATCGGCAAAGGAAGTCGGGACACAGACCACTGCAGCCGGTACCAGCGGGGAGGAGAAAAGGATTGTGACTCTCCCCTTTACCTCCGCTGCTGCTCCATTCCCTTCTCTGCTCCCCTATGACCCCTCTTCTGCCAGTGTTCTATCAATCCCTTGGACTCGAGCCCGAGGGATCGATAGAACATCGGCATCAAGCCTCTCATCAGCGGCTGGAAACTCTACCCAGCCTGCTATTGGATATTTTCAATTGCAATAACCAATAGCAGGCTCGCTATTGCACCCGTCCACTGTCAATCACCAGAGGAGGACCTGAAGGAAAACTTTCTCCTTCTGTTCCATCCTCTGAGTGACAGCAGGCAGTGGACGGGTGCAATAGCCAGCCTATTGCAATTTCAAATAACCAATAACAGGCTGGGTATTGCTCCAAGCCGCTGACTGCTGTGTTGACATTCAGCTACCTCAACAGCCGAGTCCAGTGAAGTGGAAAGGGTGACACTAGGTGTCTAAAAGAACCTGTCACCTCCAATGTGCCAACACATAGGGGGGGCTCGGGGGCTTGTGAGCATCGCCCCATATGATGGCAAGGAGGAAAAAAAAAAAATGCAAAAAAAAAGAATCTAAAAATCCCCCCCAAAACTGAAAGTCCCTCAACCCTACAAAAGCACATATACTAAACGGAATCAAGTCGGGGTGCACCTACATAGAATGACTATTGCGCTACACATGTCAGGTATCGCCGTGTATTTTATTTTAAATTAAGGATGGTATTTTTTTTTAGAATCTGCCATTTACAGACCCTGTATGTATACTGGAGCCCAAGTGAAAGCAGCTGGTAGGAAGTCTCACCACACCCACAATATCCTGTGTGTTACAGACCTGTTCAATCGCTGTAAAAAACAAGCAAAGCCAAGTCCAAAGCACACAATTTTTCTAACCTGTAAAGTGCCTTCTGTATTCTGCTTGTCGGCACTGAGCTGTGCGCAAAACACACAGTCCTTGTACAAACACCTGTAACCTGCACATACAACCTTAGGCTTGTAGATTTCTACCCATACACTTGTAGAAAATCAATCGATTTCCCCCATTCCCCCATCCACGCTAAACAGCGGAATCTCCCTTGCTAGCCATTGTATTCAGACAACAGCAGCACCCGCGACTGTTGGGATACCTGAAGAGGGACTGCTTCTCATTGGATTCAGTCACCATTCAGCCGATAACGTTCCACCCGACTCAGTCACTAAAACAGGGCCACCCGCGGCTCAAATTGTGACTGGTTTAGCAGGAATCTGCCAAAATTGGAGCTCTGCATGGCAACCTTTATGTGATCATCACTGAGCAAGTCTAACAAAAAGACATTGCAGTACATTACATTATTGCTAGAAGTGCATTTCTCAAACAGAACTACAACCTTGCCTAGTGGGATATCTGTAGTATTCAGATGATACTTATGTCAAATATGTAGAAAACAAAATGAAATACTTGAACAGACAACTCCCATGTTATGTGCTATGGCACCTAATAAAATGCATCAGCAGTTACAGATTTGCCCTAGTCCACCCGCAAAGTTCCACAAATACCTGTTGATCCTGCCAGTGAATCCACCTAATGCAGCTTCCTGTGATGGGGTGGCAATGATGCTGCACTGTTGCTAAATTCAGAGCAGAGTTGTCACCCTTATGTAGGCTGTGCCTGCTCGCACTGTAATGGGATGAAAATGTTGCTGGCTATGTGGCCATCATTGTCACTGCTGATTCATAAGCTGGTAGCTTGTTAATCACCACCAGGCCACCCACTGCTTTCTGGATTGTCAGCATTGCCTCTGGTGTTGAAAACCTTTTACTGTGAGTTGCAGTGTCTGGAAGGGGAGCGAGAGACAAGCAAGAGACAAGTGAGGGCCGGTTCACACAAACAAACAGTGCGTCCCAGAGCGGTCAGTCTTTAAAACACATTCTGGCTGGCTTCCAGCGTTCAAGGGGCGTGACGGTGCATTGAAGTCAATGCACCGCCCCGCCCGCAGTGCAGATCGCCATTGACCGCAACGCAGGAACAGATGTGCCACACTTACTGGTGCGGGCGATTGCACTGCGGTCGAGGGGGCGTAGCTGCGGTGCCATTGACTTCTATGTAACGCACTGTTTATGGTGTGAACCGGCCCTAAAGGAGGATTTGGCTCAAAGGAAGTAACGTTTTTACTATTGAGGATTTTTTTAAAAGAGGTTTGGGCACCACACTAGACGGTAGTCTCCTTTGGGGCGGGGACCAGTGTGATTGGCCTACAAATTCTGTGAATACGTGCTGCAAAATGTTGTCAGTCCTAAAAAAAAAAATGCATTTATCTAGTAAAACCATAAACTTACGTTCTCCTCCTTTTTGGTGGGGGAGATCTTGAACGAGATCTTGAAGACGAGGACGATGTTGAGGAGGATGACGATGATGATGAGGAATCAGAATGGCTACCACTAGACCGCCGCCTCCATGTGGACTTCTGTGGGCTGGGGGAATTCCTGTACTTCCTATAGCAGCGTAACGACCTCCGTGACATGCAGGGGTTTTCACTTCTGACATCAGTCCTGGTTTCTCCATGCTCACTGCGACAAGGCGAGGAGTCTGGAGACATTAACACTGACCCGGGTGGACTTTTCACTGCAGACTCTGCTAGAACATTAGTCCTATGATCCAGTGGGTCATTGCTATCTTTTTGGATATTTCTATAAGGTGTTGCAGGATTGGCAGAGCCGCAGCTGGTGCTCTGCTCACCGACGACAGAAGGTGCATTTGAATTTGGCGTGCTCTGCTTGGAGCAAGCTTTGTTCTGTGGCCGCTTGTTGAACTGCATGATGGGCTTGATAATGATATTTTGATTGTGCTTAACATTCCAGCGGGAACCTTCTTCCTTCTGAGATGATGGGCCGGTGGCAACCACACTGTTCTCCGCTGTCTCTGGACCCTTCCCTTGATCGGTGGCTGAAAGGATGCAGTAATCATGGTCACCGGATCCAACATGGACAGCCGGGATGGAGGCAGCTGACACAAGGGTTCGGTTTTTCAACTTGCTCTGCGGCAAAGGTTTTGGCTCAATGAGCTTTGCGGTCTTGAGCGCAGAGGGACACGACTTCTCTTGAACAGTTACCTGCAAGGACTTAGATTTGCCATTCAGGGATCCAGTAGCAGACTTCCAAAGCTGATGCGGTGGAGTGGCAGGAGGGGTGAGACCTTACAGACAAAATTTAGCTTTGTATTAGATTTGGCATACCAGCACAATGCAATGCACAGACTAGGTAAATCGGACTGGGTTACATTTGGGAGTCTTGGGACTCCAAAGCCCCAAGACTCCAAAGCCCCAAGACTCCAAAGCCCCAAGACTCCAAAGCCCCAAGACTCCAAATATGCAAATGACACTTGTGGATACTAATGAGAGTTTGTCTCCCTCCTCCCCTAAACGTCTACTAACCCATCAGTGCAATGTAGTTGTTAGACGCTCCCATACTATTATTAGGTACTAGCAGCCCCATCACGGTGCTTAAATAAAAGCAAACAACTATCAGGAAAATGCCTTTTTACTTGGTTAAATCTGTGATCATGTGACATGCCAGGCTCAGAGTCTTGTCTTCTTCACTGCAGAGGAAGAGAGTCCATCAAGTGTCCATGTTGCTGCCTGGGTGACATGGACACTTCCTATTAGCTGTCCAACGGTGGGGTCGTCTTAGTATTTAGTGACCTGCACTTCATGAGGAGCGGTCATGTGGACTCAGGCTGCAACACTGGTCGTCACTCCCAGAAGCAGCACCAGCAAAGCACATGGATGGTGGAGTTTGGTGA